TCACAGAGCCAGAAAACAAAGAGGGAGAGGAGGAAGAGGAGGAGAGGTGATCAGTGTGTTCTCCAGAGAACCACAGGTCAGGTAGACATTGCTGACTGATGTTGGAGTTTACGGACGTGAGAAATTCTCTTCTGTACTTTTATTTTCTTACAAATATTTCTTCTACACCTTGGAGACTGTGAATGTGGAAACTTCTCACACAACTCAATTTACCCCAGCCAAAGGCATTTGTTTCTATATTACACTCTGTTTTAAAGTATAAATCGTTGAGAAAAACAGATGCTAAAGAAATATTTAAACCTGATGCACTGAGGCAAGGAGAACGACCTGGAGGACAGAGACTAGTCTATCATCTGAAACCTGATATTGTTGTTTGGTCATAAACATGATTATGCACCGTCATCAAACCTGCACAATTTCCTCACTTCCTACACTGAAGCATCAATAAGGGCCTTCTTCAGGTGGTATTTGCTGTAAACAGAGCTGTGACTGACTGATGTGATTTGATTAAATGACTCAAATGTTGCTTTCCTCCCCTGTAATGAACCAATCCTTCATCTTTGTTTGACCTCTTCTACAGAAGGACTAAAAGCTACCAGTTCCAAAAATCCTGAGTATTTATATTTGACACAATGGAGCTTAGAAATAAAGGGACAAAAATAAAAAATGAAAAATCTAACAGCCAGAGGCTACAGCCCCAAAGTAGCACAAGGTTTGTTTTGTGTATATAGGGATGGAGTGAGGGAGGGGAGGCAGGGTGACAAAAAAGAGAGCGACAAAGACAAAGCAGGGTAGAGTAAAGATAAATGATGGCGAAAATGTGTGTGCGGTGTACAGTTATGAGGGAGTGAAAGTTGAATATATAAGGTGGGTGGTAAATCCATTCCAGTCTGACTCACCCTCCTCAATACAGCAGCAGCAGTAGCAATAGCACAAGCAGCAGCAGCAGCAGCAAAGCTCCGGCCCCAATGGCCGACTTTGCAATAAAATCGTCATAAAAGCACCCAGAGACAGAGCTGCCTCTGTCAGCTGGTTATCACCTGACCAGCACATAACCATCGCTTCTTGTTTATATGACAGTCTGATGCCAGTAGCTCCCCACATTTACCACCACATAACCCTTCCCCTGTGATGCACTAGTCTTTACGGAGGCAGAAACCAAACAACATGACTGAGATCATTCCTCTGAATCTAACGTAATAAAAATAGTATACAAGCTTTAATCCACAAGTCAGCTTCCTGTCTTGTTTGTTAGTGTGCCTGACCACATTATGACACACACTGATATATATATATATATATATATATATATATAGTATACACACACACATATTCCCCAGTAAACAGCATGTATTCTGGCGGTCACACGGCTCAATTCTATTATGTAACCTGTAAATTTTGTTAATTTGATGCTTCAAGAAAAGTCATCAATATGACTCACCCTCCTGCATCCATTATGTCTTACATGAAGATACAAACGCTACAGTAATGAGAAGCTGATCCATCAAGGACGCGAGGTCATTTCAAAAAATGAAAACTGCGTCCTTTGTTCATTTCAAAGAACACATGTGGAAGCTGTCCTGTGAGGTTTGGATGGATGTGTGGATGATCCTGAGAAAATGCAGTTTTATAAGTTGCCTGCTTCTTGTCTCTCTCTGTCTCGTCCTGTGTCCCCCCTGGTGAAAACACGGGAGCAGTGCACTCAGCTAGGTGATGACACTGATGCGAGGCGGCAGAAAGCATGCTCGGACACGGTCGGTCGGCTTGTAAACACACTTGGCTGCCCTTGGAGGGCCAAGGTTGAATCAAGTCGCTCCGGTAGCAACAGAGACGGTTTAAGACAAACTAGATTTGCCTCCCTGTACCTGTCCCCGTCCCTGTCCTCCTCTCCAACGCTCTGTCGTCTGCAGCTGGCTGCCCTGGGGCAGAGGAATCACATCACTGCTCTGCCAAGCACACTCACAGCTAAGTGGGGTCTTAACAGGTGTTTAAAACACACACAGGGACGCCTGTTTGTATCCGCTTGGACGGCAGAGGTCTGCCATTATGTCGTTTCCTAACTGACGATGGGACACAGCAAGAAGGGCGAAGGGACACATAATGTTATCACACCAAGTCGTTTGCCCCTTTGGTGAGGAGGCGAAAAAAGAGAGCGACAAAGACAAAGCAGGGTAGAGTAAAGATAAATGATGGAGAAAATGTGTGTGCGGTGTACAGTTATGAGGGAGTGAAAGTTGAATATATAAGGTGGGTGGTAAATCCATTCCAGTCTGACTCACCCTCCTCAATACAGCAGCAGCAGTAGCAATAGCACAAGCAGCAGCAGCAGCAGCAAAGCTCCGGCCCCAATGGCCGACTTTGCAATAAAATCGTCATAAAAGCACCCAGAGACAGAGCTGCCTCTGTCAGCTGGTTATCACCTGACCAGCACATAACCATCGCTTCTTGTTTATATGACAGTCTGATGCCAGTAGCTCCCCACATTTACCACCACATAACCCTTCCCCTGTGATGCACTAGTCTTTACGGAGGCAGAAACCAAACAACATGACTGAGATCATTCCTCTGAATCTAACGTAATAAAAATAGTATACAAGCTTTAATCCACAAGTCAGCTTCCTGTCTTGTTTGTTAGTGTGCCTGACCACATTATGACACACACTGATATATATATATATATATATATATATATATAGTATACACACACACATATTCCCCAGTAAACAGCATGTATTCTGGCGGTCACACGGCTCAATTCTATTATGTAACCTGTAAATTTTGTTAATTTGATGCTTCAAGAAAAGTCATCAATATGACTCACCCTCCTGCATCCATTATGTCTTACATGAAGATACAAACGCTACAGTAATGAGAAGCTGATCCATCAAGGACGCGAGGTCATTTCAAAAAATGAAAACTGCGTCCTTTGTTCATTTCAAAGAACACATGTGGAAGCTGTCCTGTGAGGTTTGGATGGATGTGTGGATGATCCTGAGAAAATGCAGTTTTATAAGTTGCCTGCTTCTTGTCTCTCTCTGTCTCGTCCTGTGTCCCCCCTGGTGAAAACACGGGAGCAGTGCACTCAGCTAGGTGATGACACTGATGCGAGGCGGCAGAAAGCATGCTCGGACACGGTCGGTCGGCTTGTAAACACACTTGGCTGCCCTTGGAGGGCCAAGGTTGAATCAAGTCGCTCCGGTAGCAACAGAGACGGTTTAAGACAAACTAGATTTGCCTCCCTGTACCTGTCCCCGTCCCTGTCCTCCTCTCCAACGCTCTGTCGTCTGCAGCTGGCTGCCCTGGGGCAGAGGAATCACATCACTGCTCTGCCAAGCACACTCACAGCTAAGTGGGGTCTTAACAGGTGTTTAAAACACACACAGGGACGCCTGTTTGTATCCGCTTGGACGGCAGAGGTCTGCCATTATGTCGTTTCCTAACTGACGATGGGACACAGCAAGAAGGGCGAAGGGACACATAATGTTATCACACCAAGTCGTTTGCCCCTTTGGTGAGGAGGCGAAGGAAATTTCTCAATCAAGAAGGTGTGCACTGAGTGCTGAGTCTGACCAGGGTGCAGTGAAGTGCACACAGTTTAAATGTGAAGCACGGCTCTCTCAGCAACATCACTGCTGACTGATATGGGAGACTGTGCAGAGCAAAGACATTTGCATCTTAAGCCAAGTGCAGACTGTGACTCTGCCGCCACTGGATTTCATTTGACTCTATGAAAAAACGAGTTGCTCAGCTCGTCAAACAGCTTTAAATGTCTTAGCTTAGTTACTTTACTGTGTCGTTGCTCCGTGAAAAACAGAAGTGTGATGTATTGTATCTAACAGTAAAACAGCTTTAAACAAAGTCAATTATGCTTCTGTTTGGTTTTTTTTAATTGTTTTGGCTCTTCACTTGCAGAAGTATTTACACAAGGTGAGCATTTACAGCCCAGCAGCTCTTCCTATGGTGTCAATATGTGCCTTCTTTTGGCAAATGAATATTACTGGCTAGCTCAGGCTCAACAGCTCTACAATTATTATTCAACTGCAGCTGAAAAGAAATACTTGCAAACATATACATTAATGCACAGTTTGACTCATAAAATCTCAGAGCAGGTGAGCTAATTTTCTCGGCAGTGGCAACGTTAAATTCTTCCAAACACAGTCACTTTTCAGCAGTCGGGTTTCGGTGACAGAGTGTGAAATAAAGCAGCACTGGGAAGTACAGAGACCAGTCATGTCTCTATGTGTGCAGCAGACGGTGGCCTACAGTTGGTGAACAAAGCAGCAGCAACTACACATCATCTCATTCCAAGGTGCAGGTGTTTGACCTGTTCTGTGACTTAGTTCAACCCACAGATGTGAGTTAGTACCACACCAGAACCAATCACAGCCCACTATCTGCATCTCTTAGTTTAAATACACAGTAAGACATGGTAAAACAGCCTAAAACAGCCAGACTGTGTGTGTTACGCCTTAGTTACTCACCTCTCAGGTCCTGCCCGGAGCGACCTGGCCCGCAGGTGGTGCTCTGTCTGGGCATTCGCAGCGAGGTGCGTAAGGGTGTGTGTCTCTGCTCATCCAGGTACGCCAAGTCCTCCAGGTGTGCTGAGCTGGTCGCTGTAGATTAGAGATGGGGAGGAAAAAAGGCAACAGCAAAGACAGAGGATGGGAGAAAGTTGTTAAGATCCACATTACGAGGACATCCCCCGTGAACAAGATAGTAAAGTGGGCAGCACTAACCCATGACCAGCCTGACAGCTATTGTCAGGCACAAACAAACCCTGTCCCTTTAAAGTTCTCTCCTAAAATTCCCTCCTGTCAGTGTCTGCCATGCAGCATGCAGGCAGATGCCATTCGACCCCTCTCAGGATTAATTAGCTCGGTAGACAAATGTCTTATTCATGGAGTGAATGCCGTCTGACACTGGCTGCTCAATGTTCACACCTCGCTGTCTCTTCAGGGCCAACGCACAAATCCAGTGAATGTTAAATGTGAGTAAGCGAGTGACTCGTTCTCCCATCTAACCCTAATCTGCTGTTTGGAAAAGAAGGTTGAGTGATGGAAGAGGAAAATGTTTTTATCACCTCAATACTATGACATAAGTAATAATCCGTGTAGTAATCCGTCATAAAAACAAATCTTCTGAAAAATCCAACATCAGAGACATCGGTGCTGAGGCCACCTTATTATACGGTGAACTGAAAAGTCATGGCACCTGAAATGTCAATAAAAACGCCCCAGAGCACCGTAGGTTGACCTCTGACCTGTGACAGAGTTTATAATGAAAACTTCAGGTAACTATTTCACCCTTTCTTATTCTCTCAGCCATAGGTCTGAGCTGTCTTGGAGCTCCCAGCTTGTGACAATGTTTTTGCACAAAAACCCAAAAAAGTACTTAAATTCAACCTTCATTTGCACTCATTTTCTATTCAACTAACCAATCAAACACCAGGCTGAAAGAACTATGGAGAGCTAAGGGGAAGATAGACGAGCAGGGCTTTTTCACAGTGGATTTCTCACTTGTCTGAGAAGAAAAAAAAAATCAAAAATCTCCTCCAAATAACAGAACACCTTGCTCTGGTATGAACTCACCATATTATCAGCACTGATCCTTCACTGTCCTCGGTTCAAAGACCTGTTTCTATGTCACTGGAGTAACGCTAAGTGAAGAAGTGAGTGTGTGTTTGACTCTGTGTGTCCGCGAGTGTGTGTTTGTGTTCTGCTGACTGCCTGAGTCACCACAGCCATGCACCCAAAAAAAAATGAGCCACTTGAGTTTCCCAAAATGGAGGGAAAATGGCAGCTGAGAATGCTGGAGGCCTGGCCATGATGGGAGTTGGTGAGTGGGGGGGGGGGGGCGCTGGTCATTCACAATAGAATGACGAAGATAGTTGCAGCATTAATCTGCTGTTCAACCAAGGAAGAGTGACTCAGGGCTAATGGCCTGAAACATTTCCATTTATTCCCCATTTCCTCCACTTTTTCAGATGTGTTTTGAAAGTGAGACCACAAATGTGTGTGCTCATCATCTCTATCTGCAATGCAGCAGGCTGCTGCTAGCATCGCATTCACAGCCCTTGTGCTGATGCGTCCAGGCTGCATGTTGAGTGAAAGGAAATAAAGAGCTAAGAAATGCACAACGGAAGAGGGAGAGTGAGTGGACTTAGGGGAGCAGGAGAGAGAGGGAGTAAAAGTCCTGGCTGTACAGCACACAGCTTGGTTATTTATGGCCATGACAGACACATCAGACACTTCCTGTTTGACAGAGTGACTGATAGCATGAATGCATCTGTGGCTCAACCAATACACACACAAAGACCAGCTGGGCTGCCGTCCAGTGCCATTTACAGTGTCAGCCGGCGTCCAGTCATCTCGGATACTCAGATATGAGTGTCAGCACCGTCATGCTGTCTCCATGACACTGACATGATCATTTGTGCCAGCCATTTATTTCTTTATTTTTACTCATTTGCTGGGGTGAAAGTGCTATTTCCATCATCCTGTGTCTCCTCTGACGTGTCCCCTAAAGCTTCTTATCCCTCTGTGGTGAACCCCTGATGAGCAGTTTTATATCAATAAATAAAAAACACTAATGCAAAAGAAACCTGCACAAAAAACAATTAATTTATATTTTGCTATTTTATTTTGTAGAAATAAATATTTGGACAACATCCACCTGTCTCAAACAGGTGTCCATATTTCAATTAGAACATTTAAAAATATATTTTAATATTTCTTATCCCAATTTTTGGAATGTATATATATATATATATACTGTATATATACACTGGGAATCAGTCTCATTACTTTTCTACTGTAGATAATTTTCATCTTTAATTTCAATTTAAGAAATTTGCATCACAGGAGCACAACAGGACTTTTGCTTTTGTTCTCTTTACTTTAAGAGTTTCTTTCTGAAGATGTGCTGAACCCAGATGAATGATAGTACCGGCTGTACTGACTCCACAAATGTGGAGAGGAGAGAAATACTCTGTGTCTCAGTTGCTCCTTCCTCCCATATCCATCATCAGCTCAGCCAACGCGCTGCCTTCATTAGGTAATAGAGAATCCTCTTCCCTGCTCATTTTTCTCCTCACTCCCTCTCTTTCTCTCCCTCTCTCCCCTCACATCAAAGCCAGTCTCTCTGTCACTCTGAGGGATAGAAACAGTTAATGCCTGGAGCTTTGATGTTCCACTGCTGTGTCTGCCCAGCCAATCCTCTGCTTGCTCTTTTCTACCGTCCCTAAACCATCTAATAATTCTTTGTGTAGGAAAGTGAGTCAATGCGTGCGTGTGTGTGTTTGTGTGTGTGTGTGTGTGTGTGAGAGAGATTATGAAATCTCCTTTTCTGCATGTACACACCTTCCTCTTCTCAATATGGAATTCCTGATACTGACAACTCTACATTAGACCCATCCACCAGCCCCTCTCTGTTTTATGTGTTTGCATCATCTCCAGCTCCTTCAAAGTCTTTCAGAAAGCTGCCTTCAGCCCACAGATCTGTGGACTGAGGGCCAGAGATGAGACGGAGGGTGGAGCTCTACACCTGGCTGACAGGCTGAGCTCTCAGTCAGACAGGAGAACATGACCTGCATTGATAGAGGGTCATAGATGCAGGAACAGGCCGCATCAGGAGTATTGCTTATATTGTACTGTATGTACACAGTACACTGCACAGTGAGTGCGTGGGAGAAGCACAAATTATAGAGTCTGAAACACCGTCTCCCTCTCTGCCATGATGACAACAGTCGTACAGTCAGGCTCCGTCGGACTGCCTCAGTGTTCAGAAACCGACTTCTTCCCTTGATATATTTACCGTTACTTTTGGGAATTCTCTCTGTAAGGCAGCTGTGGCCCGCAGTCACACACATCAATAAGACTCCAGTCAGCGACACAGCACTTTTCTATGAGCTTTTCCTCCAGCCAGTGTTCTACTCTGAGAAATGAATTACTGCACTCCTTTGTTTGCCCCCACAACAAGGGGGCTGAAGTTTAAAGAACTGAAGCTGTATGTGTACCTGGGGCTAAAGGTAATGGGTTTTTGCCATAAATTAACAATACTAAAGTACTTCATATTTTTAATTTAATTTACTTTTGAGTTGAAGAAAGTTCAGATGAAACTTGGCTGAAACTTAACTATCCAGAGACTATCTGGATTATGAGGCACACCCTACGATCTGTGTTCATCGACAGTTTAACCTTGAAAAACATTCGCTCAATCAGGTGGGACTTTCTGGAGTCTCCTTCTTTTCTTTTCACTGTTGTATTTTTCTGTTGCACATTCAGTCAGTGGGATTAGAGTTAACCTAGTAAAGAAACAGGCTTAAAAGAAAAGATAGGAGTGATGAGGGAGAACCTGGAGGTCACAATCTCAGCAGAGATAGGCAGCTACACACCCATGCATGGCTGGGTAACCTTACTTCTGCCTCCAAAGACAAACTACAGAGAGGGCAGGGAAGAGGATGCAACTCACCGGCCACAGAGTTAGGGCGGGGCATGAGGTACAGAGGGATGGAGTGGGCAGAGTGGGAGGACATGCTCTCCAGGTTGCGCTCAGGGATTTTGTTGAGGCTGTAGGTCGAGGCCGTCATGTTTTCATCCACTCGGTACAGAAAGGAGTCCATGCCTGATTTCTGGGACTGCCACAGTTTGAGGTTTGCTCGGGAGCCTTCACCGTATTTGCCCCCTCGCTCCATGTTTTCAGAATAGCTGGTCAGGGTAGCTGTAACACAGAGAAAGAGGGTCTCCTGAGGTTATTTCCTGTCTGAGCGAAACTCACTGATTTTATCTGTAGACCTCAGAAGTCAGATATCAGGACAGCATCAGGGCTACAGGACTGTCATTGACCACAGACACTCAGCATTAAGTTTCTGGTTTAAACATCAGCACCTAAAATGATCTTTTGTTCAAGAGAAGACGTTGCATTAATATGAGAGCCTTTTTAAAATCTTGACATTTACAAGGAAGTCAGTGATTTACCACAGAGGAAAGTCTCCCGCTCAGTTCTTACCAATTATTCCGCTGTCCCTGCTCTCCAGCGTTGAGGTGGGACTGGTGACGGATCCGTAGGCGCAGTCCTTGGTACCGGCCTGGCCAGGCATGGCAGGGGGGAGGGTGGAGCAGGGGCTGCCTGCAGGTGGGGAGGCAGTGCTGCTGGTTAAGGTAGAGCACGGGCTGATCCTCTGGTTCTGACCCTGGAACAGACGAAAGTTCTTAAACTTTGGTGCAAATGGTGGAGAAAGGCGTAAACTTTTACTCTGTGAGTCAGAAACACAGGAAAATGTCACTTCAACACTGCGGCTCTCAAATGTCTGCCCCCCTGCTGTCGTCAGCCACATGAGTCAAGTCCTTCCTGGTGTGTGTCACACTGACACACAAACACCACACTTTGTTATAACTGACAACAGTGGACTTTCTGATGAAAAGACCGTGTGTCCCACTGTAATTAAGCATAAATTAGGCATGAACTATTGTATAGCAAAGATTAACGTCATCATTGGACAATAGTTAGAAGACAAGAATCTACGTTGGGCAAAGTAAAACAGTAAACTGCAGTTACTCTGGTGCTGGTGCTCTCACATGTTCTAGAAGCAAAAAGAAACAAACTTCCATAGTCATTTGACTCCTACAACGGTACAAAAACAATGTTAAACACCTTGAATGCTGCTGTTAGCAGGTCCAGGTCCTTAGGGAGAGCGAGGCTAAGGATAAGGGTTTATCAAAATATAATTATAAAGTACCAGTTTTAGTTCATCCAGAGGATTATCTAAAAAATATTCCAGGATTTTACCATTCCTAAAATTAATGTCAACATCACCGCAAAAACCTGAGGATTACTGAAATGCTTTATCCTTTTGGAATCACTGAGAGCCAAACAAAAATGTCACAGTATGTCATGTTGTGTTGAAATAATAATAAACAAACAAACAATATACTGTTATCCTAAAAGCCACTATAAGCTTTCTCTCAGAGCCTAAAATAATTAACTTCATCATCACTGACATTTTGTAACTTTTGGTTACCAGTCATCAAACACTAATGTTTGTTTACTAATGGCACAAACAGTACCAACATAACTATATCAGTAGCACACACGTGATATAAAGTACCGTATTTTCTGGACTATACGTCGCTCCGGAGTATGAGTTGCAGCTAGAGTGCCCTTTTGCGGCTGTGAGTGTGAAAAAAACAAACGTGAACCTAGTAGAGTATAAGCCGCGAACCCAGCCAAAGGATGAAAAAAAGTGTGACTTAAAGCCCGGAAAATACAGCAAAAACAGTAGCACTGGTCTTAACTAGTGAGTAATACATAGTTCCCTGTTCCATTAAAAACATGGCCTCTGTAGCCTCAGCTCAGTGTGTGAGAACTGACTGAGTGACAGGCTGAGAAAGCCTTTCCCACCATGGTCAGTCAGTCACCGCTGGACTCCGCTCTCCCCTCGTTTATAAGTGCGTTGTTTACAGGATCTTGACCCGGATGTAGACAAAACATATGCCTCAGACCTCGGTGCACCCACGGCAGCGCTCTGCTGGACTAATGAACCTTATGTTGTGCAGACCTGACCTTAAATGCTGCACAAGAATTAGATTGAACTTGGAGCATAGGACGCATTCAGGGAGCCAGAGCGAGAGAGTATGAAAGGCAATTAACTGCGATCTCTGAGAGTTAAGGTCACCTTGTTTCAGCAGCTGCTGAGGTCTGCAGCAGAGACAACGTCTAACCCGGGAATGTAACTATGTCAAATATGAGCTAAAAGAGGATATGAAGAAGAACTCCACAAAGGAGTGAGCATGCACTAAATGCACTAATAGATATCAAAAATATGAAGTTTGTTCTATGTGCATATTTCAGGAGACCACTAGTGTGAGTCACAGCTCTAAAAAGTGCCGCTTGAATAAACCTCTCTCAATTTGAACACCCCCGCTGCTACAGAAGCGCTCACAACAAGCACGGGCAGACCATCAGTGTAATCGCTTATCCACACTGCTTTAGTGGAAACCCCATACCTGTGCCTGATGGAAAAGCTTCAGCA